AGTCATGAATCCCTCCATCCATCCTGACCTTGGCGCGAGCGTCAGTGAGGTCGTCTGTGGCCCCTCCGACGATGTTCGAAAGGCTGGATGCACAGAAGGCGGAATCCGTACCGCCGTGCTTGACAACGTTGGAGAGGAGAGAGATGCAGCCAGAGAGATATACTTGGTCCCGATACCCACAGGCTGTCCGCATACACACATACACTGATGGCAGACCCATGCCCCATCCCACCCTCACCGGTCAGCACGGATGGGACCGCAAGGGCGCTCGCGCACGTACGTTCTACCTCACCGGCCGCTTCCGTCAACGAAGTCGACACATAGGCCTGCAGCGTGGGTACATGCACCTGCGGTCACACGGCGTACGGTCCCATTAGTCATCGTACCTCCAATGCCTTGGGAACTCTCATGAGACGCTCGGCAGGCGACTCAGCTGCATCAGCAACGAAGGAGAAAAAGGCCCAGAGCCCGAAGATGTCTGCCAGGGCTGCGGCGGCTCCGCCACGGACGGCCCGCTGTGCGTCAGGAGAGGTCAGGGTGGCAGCCAGTGTATCTACGTGGGGGTAGATGTGCTGTTGCAAAGCGGCCAGAGACGCTGTCCTCAGGGAGACATTCGGCCTGCACCAACGGGTCGAGGTACATCTTACGATATGCGCAGGGTCTCCGTCTTACGATCTGTGTGTGTCACGGAGCTGATGTGCAAGCGGACGAGTCGATGGATAACGTCAGCCGGACTTGTCTTCTTGTCCCCCAGCTCAAGCCTGCAGAAAGGAATGAATGAAGAAAGGAATGAGGGACTACCTGCCTGATTGTGTGCCGTTGCTTACACCATGTCACGAATTTCCTGTCTTTCGTGTGTCATGATGCGCACAGCCGTCGACAAGAGCGAAACCCACAGGAAGGTCGGCATGGGAGCTGGTGGGAATGCGAACCCGGCCTCGCGCGGCGCATACATGGCCCCGATGAAGGTCAACGCACTCGCACCACTGTCGCTGTGCCCATCCACGATCCCGTTCACACTGGAGGCGGCCCGTTTCAGAATCTCGGGGTGGTGCTGCACCAAGAAGTCCCAGTAGTCGGCCGCGTTGCCCTCCCTCCGGCCCCTGGCCATGGTCCCTTGCAGCAGTGCAAAGGCGACGTTGGCAGTGACCTCTTCGTCCACCTCGCCCAGCACCTTGGCCAGCACGGCGGCGAGCGAGTTGATGGATGTCTGAGGCGAATCGCCGAGAGATGAGATGGCCTCCATGGTGAAGGGGAACACGCTGTGGGTGCAGAGAGGGTTGAGCACGATTGAAGCCATCTTCTGGCGTGTCTCGTGGGTCATGTCGATGAAGGCACGATACACTCTCCCGATCAGCCGCTTGTTGCGCAGCGCCCCGAACAGCTCACGCCGCACCTCTCCCTGCGCTGCAACCAGCCCGGCTGCAACTGACGCGGAGACCACTCTGAGGTCGCTGTCGAACACATCCTCCGGCAGCTCCTCTGGCGATGACAAGGCAGCGATTGACGCATCAAAGTCATAAGAGCCCATCTTCTCAGTCATGGCTGATCAGTCACCGCTGGCTGCTAGAAGGCGGCCCGGCACCACGTACAGTGGCCAAGTCGAGCACCCGACGCCCATGCTGCAACGATCGGCAGTACAGTCCCATGCACCGACATGGACAGATGGATGGGATGGATGTGTTTTTTGCTTCTCTCACCTTCCAGGCTGCTGAGGTATGTGCAATGCAGCCCTCTGCATATCAGCGTAAGAGAGGCGCAACACCCACAGGGCAGCAGCGGTTCAAGGCTCGCAACCAATAGGGTGCTCCCTGAAACCGCTGCTGCTGGAGAGAGGCGAAGATGGGGATATTGAATCCCGTGTTGTTGCAGGTCGGCTCGCTCATCTGCAGCGTCGCAGTCGCAACATTCGTGAGCAAAAGCATCGAATCGGATGTTGTCCAGAGCAAAGACACATACGAGCCAGTTATGCAGCAGGGCAGCAAGTCTGCACAATATCCAACCATGCATTTCCCTCATGGAGGATGCACACAGTCAGTCAGATCTATGCACAGCTATGTACTGTACAATGTACGTACATGTGAATGCATTCGATCATTGCAATGCGGTCCCCTTCCCCTCCGGGCGGCCAGTCGGGCCGCCTGACTGGCACCCATCCCTCTCACAAATAGACATGCTTGGTGGCTGTGATGGCCTGTCGGCACCGGGTGCACAGTCGTTGGCCTACCGGGCGGCGCATCAAGGCCGCCGCGCAACCACCGCACAAACAGAAGTGACGCTGGATCCGTACATCCACACACAGAAAGGCGTTCGTGAGAGCGTCTTGTGTGGGTGTGTTGGTGGGGGGGTCGGCTTACACAGGGAATGAGGACGGTATTTTTCTTCTCGGCCATGCAGATGTCGCACTCAGTGCTCTCCCGCTCCTCCTGCAGTCTGCAACCAACCAACCAACCACACCGGCCAGGAACGGTCGGTCAATGAACGACAGATAAGGAGGCCGACGATCGGCCCTCCGCGCTTAGTTCACCTGTCGTTCTCGCGTTTGATGTCCTCTTTTTCCTTCAGTATGGCCTCGTTCTGCATCCGCATGGCCTCCAGCTGCTGGCGCAGCGCCTCCAACTCGCTAATGTCCTCACCACACCTGTACCACACAGATGTGTCTGCCCATCTCCCCCCCTTGGCTGCTGTGTCCATCGATGCGCACCTCTCCTGACCACCGCGGCCCTCCTTGTCCACCGCCATCTGCAAAGTGCTACTGCTACTGCCCCCCCTGGCTGCCAAGAGGGCAGACCCACCCTCATCAGACGCAAAGCTACTGGTGGGTGCTCGTGTGGGCGACGGTCGGGCGGGAGGCTGGGGCGGAGCATTGCTGAGGCCGCCACACACTGATGAGTGCGATGAGGAGGGGCGAGTCGACTCGGATGAAGACGAACAAGGAAAGACCGATGAGCTGAACACATCAACATCACAGAAATGAACCTGTTGGTCGGCTTTGGTGTTGTGTCCTTCTCGGCCTTACCTGTCGTTTGGTTTGTCGGCTTTGTCCGTCTGCTGCTGCTGTGCATGGCCGCCCTGTGGTGCTCTGTTGCCGCCCCTGGTGCCCCTCTTGCTGCGGCCGACTGTGACGAACCCATCGCCCTCACCACCGCCATCCCCCACTCCTTGCTGCCGCCCACCGCCGCCCCGAACCGACCCAGAGGGGCCGCCAGACACGGCCGACGGCATCGGTGCAGACGATGAGCATGACGGTCGGGGAGGGGAGAGGGGCGACGGGCTGGGAGGACCAGGGAGATGGCCATGACGATGCTCTTTCATGTTCTCCTCATGCGGCTCGCTGTGGTCTTCGGGTGTGTCGATGGTGCCACCACCGCTGTCGATCGGCACACACATACCCATGATCGGCTGAGTGAGGTGAGGCCCTTTTCCCATTTCACCTGGATGATGATGCCGCCTGTTTGGTGCTGTTGGCTCCCTCGCCGCCCTTCTTGGCCTTGGACTTCTTCTTGCCGCCCTTACTGCTGGTGTTGGTGTTGGTGTCCTTGCCCTTCTGCTGTGTGTCGCTAATGCCCAACTCGGCTGCCAGCAATGCGTCGGCCCGCTCGTTGGCCGCACTCTCAATCTCGTCAAACAACTCCAACAACTGACACACAACACACAAATTGACATCGACACGGCCTGTGTGAGCCGCCATATGTGGATCATTTCCCGCCTCCTTGGGCACTGCTATCTGCTGCTGCTGGTGTCCCTTCCGTCGCCCTTTCGGCTGCTGTCCGGCCGCCCGCATGGTCTTGACGGCCTCGTGCTGCAGG